AAACAGGAATTTAGACGCCTACAATAGAAGTGCATTAGTTCAAGTTGACACATTTTTATACAGTATAGAACTAAATTAAAATAAAAAGAATTGATTTTGTAGGAAAGATGGTGAATAAATAAAGATTAACACGATGTCATTTGGGTTGATGATGACTAGCATCACCATTCACTGAGGCAGGCATATACAGCTGACGCGTCCCACATAGGACGAAAGACGTATCCTGGATTCCACTGTTGATCACCGTCAACAAGGTCTTCAGACACCGTACTACGAGCAAACATATCAACAGAGGCTGCTCATTTAAGTACAGCATAAACAATCAATCAACGGGAAATGCAAATTAACTCAAAAAGGACAACGTAGTTTTCAAAACTGTTAAATACGAACATACTAGTGTGTGGTTGCTCTCAAGTTTTCCGTTTGAATTGCCTAAATCATTGATTCTTAACTTCTTGGAAATATCAAACTTATATGTCTCAAACCAATAACCAGGGAATTTCAAAAAGGTTTCACGCTTTTTTCTGGTCACCTTAATCTTACATCAGGTCAATTATAGCATCAGATCAAGTGTTAGTAAGAAATGTATAATAGATATTCAATCTGGCTGAGTAATTGAAAAATGCAGAACTTCACTAGAAGACTTTCATTCTTAGCCAGAACCCTACAAGGAGCCTCAATACATTTCATTTCATAATTCCACTATCAAGAAAAATCTGTGACGCTTATGATTGAAAATTCTGTTCCTTATGTATTCCGCAACTCATGCAATAATTCATAGTGAACTCGTATGCAGCACACCACTTCTAATGTCTCATCCGTTTCACGGATACCACAAGTTAGCAAATGGTAAACAGGCTTTCTGGATCTCCAAAGTGTTCTCACTATCCAACCGAATACAGGTTGATACCGTTTCCGTGATAGGTAGACTGGCAGCGAAATCCAGTTCTTATATATTATTTGGTTTAAAACTAGGTATTACTATGAACTATTCCTATAATGTACTTTTAAGTGTCACAAGCTAAATATTCAGATTGTAATTTGTGTTTTAGACATAATTTTTTTCTTTTAGCATAAACAAACATATACTACCGGCGTAAAATAAATCAACTGGGTGTTTCTTATCGAGAAAATTAATCCCTGATATGTTGCAGGTGATTAGATTCATCCTAGTCAATTTAGTAGGGGATGATGACAATGAATGTTTCTTATGGAAAGCATTCCAGATAAAAATTCGTCACAATTTGTTATATATTTGTACAAGTTCGAACAAACAGACCAAACTGGTGCAACATACTTTTTACGGTCATCTCTAGTGTTGCATAGTGTGAATATGTAACTGGATGGCATTTTCATGTGCGTTGTATTGGGAATTCTTCTTGAACATTAAAATACTTGCTAGCCAATAGGCAGTAAACATGGGGAGTTGAATATTATGACGCAAAAGCTACTTAGTTAAAATTGAAATTCAGTGTAGATTGACTTAAATGATGATGGAACATGAACTTTCACCCACATTTCACAATTGAGTAACTGAGTATTAGTTTTAAGAGACAAAGTTTATTATTAATGTTGTTTAAAGGTGACATAAAATGACATCAAATAACAGTAGTCTCTGATAACACAAAACAAAGTGAATTTAGATCATAAAAGAAAATATAACAAGATTGCAGAAAGAATGAATTACATCTCACCGGTTTTTTTTTAATAAATAACCTCTAGATGTACTTCATCTCATATCTGAAGATCTACATCACATCACATGAGATTGACAAACTTCAACAGGTACTAACGAGTGAAAATGTGGTTGATTGGCTTGTGCATCAGACTATCAGTCAGTGTTTGGAGTTCGAAACCAGTCCCCACCTACTCTAACTTGCGCAACTGCGTAGTGTCATCAGCCCTTATACAATAAGTGTAGCCCGAAGTCTGGTATGTGGAAAATCTGATCCATGTGATTGAGTTTCAACAACAACAAACAGAAAAACATTATCAATTAACGTACTTAATCAGACCACTTTGGACTCAACACTTATGTGAGCCATACGTGTAGGCTATAAAGACTGTATCCCTTTTATAACGCTAACTCCGGAAGCATATAATAAATTTGCAATATTTTTTTAATAAATAGTATATGTGTAGTAGTTTATGTGTAGTTAATGAGACATTGACGTAAAATATATTATGACAAGTTCTTTCTAAAATAGCATGTTTCTATTTACATTTCCCAGGATAAACATTGGGATGGTTTATTTTATGGTGAGAAAATACGTACGGATATTATTTAGCTAGAGAAACCTGCAACTAAGTTGATGCATGTGACCACCATTTGGTAGGTAGGATACACGTGACTTCATATCATGGTGGTTATCTTATTACTTTAAAAGATCGCAAATTGATAGGAGTTAAAATTTATGCGCCATTAGATTCCGTCTTAGTGGCTGAATAGTGAATCAGCTCGCCTCGCAACTTGATGGTCCTGGGTTCGACCCCCAGTGGAGATACAGGTGTATGTTATTGAAGAGTGCCCAAACTAGGTCAAACTTCAAACCAATCAAGTCCCTACAAACTAACACTTGAAAATATTAAGCTGATCCACACAACTTTACTAGAGATTTGAATAATAATAATAAATAATATAAAAGCAAGATGTACATAAATGTGAAATTCGGATCTTCACGCTCGAATTCCAAATCAACTGAGAATTTTGATTGAACAAAATTACCTGGAACATATGTTTCATGTATCAGATTAATAGCCACACGAATCGGGTGACGGCTGGTGATATTACCCATTTGTTCAGACTGAAGTGTGTGGAGTGGGATTAGAACTCAAGACCCATTGATTGAAGGTCGGATGCTTAAGCCAGTGGAACACATCTTCGTAAACGAACACCCAGTTGCTGGAACTCAGGAAATTAAAATACGAATAATAAATATTTAAAGAAACCTTTCATGGTCAGTTGAGAACTTGTATGAAAACTCCACACAAATGTCTATATAAACAAATCAACAAGAAATTAACAAAACTGTGAATCCACCAGTCAGAAAACACAGCAACCAAATGAGGATAACAACAATGCTAGAAGTCTCAGGGCTGGGCATGACTAAAATATTAGGATAATAATGGTGTATATTAATATGCGAAAAGACCGAACACATGTGAGTTGCTGTGACCGATTCTGAGAAAAAGCAAAAATGAAGGAATACCTGAAAACTTGTTCTTAACGCACCATAACATCTGTCATAGAACAAATAGGAAGAATATGTAGCATGTTAACCTGTCAGTGCACAATCGAATATCTCACCAAGAGTGTTACAAATGATGAGAGTTAACGAAAACCAAAATGATGTTTCGCTATGCATTTCAAGATTTTGTCAACCAGGAGCAATCTAAATGAACTGAGACAGTTTCATGTGTAGGCGGAATAATTAATACATTCACTCAGTTCGTCAAGTTGACAACCAACTCAGACTAAACTGGATGCAATAATTTGCTTTTGGTAGGTTGGAAATGCATTCAGTTTGTCATTTAGTGTTCAGAAAATTCTGAATCATTAACATAAACAATCGTTCGGAAACAACAAATGAAAGTGAACAGTCCCGACAGACAGTATATGCCTTCACCCTTAAAATCATACTTCAAACTTCGTTAAGTTACAGTCAGATAAATATAATCAAATATGAATGTAAATATCCAGTGCAATTCTTCTACCCTCTTTAAGTGAAGCCAATAGAGAACGGAGTGGCTGATCGCGTTGATCCTATGATCATTTGTTTGAGAACTCTCTTCAGTTGTGGTAATTATCACTGATATGAAGTGACTGAAAACTACCAATTGATTATTGTTTAGATAAGCGTCAAATATGTCTAAGAAATATCCCATCTATCCATATAGATCAAGAGTAAACATTGTGTACTTGACTAGGCAAAAGGTTTAACAGGTTAGAAAACCACTGAAGACCAAGGAGTACTGGAGAGGGTGCGAACTGACGAAGAGTCCCAAATTGGGGCGAAACAGCTGTCCAGTACTCCCTGGCTTTCAATGGTTCTCCAACTGATATCAATCCGTGATAAAACTTGACAGGATTACGTTGTATGAAAAAAACTTTAATCGTGTGCCAAGTCCTGAGAAAGTGTATGTGTAACAAAACGTGTACAGTGCCGAACAAATTTAGCAACCTTATATTACCAACATTTACCAGATCTTTTTATGTTACTGTAATAATCTTATTTATAAGGTTCACAATACACGACCTTTCGATACAAATAAATAAACACTGTAAAATAATAATAATAATACTAGTGACCTTGAAGACCGTTTTTTGATGCAAAAATCAATATCTTATTAGATGATGCGCTTAATCAAACTTGTTAGGATAGGGATGATTCTTGGTCAATATACATTGTAACATACATATATAATCAACTTCTGTCGATAATAACAATAAAAACTGCGATAACAAAACATTTCAAACATTTTGTACACATATATGCATTCACATTTCCGGAGGTATTTTAGAGGTGTGTTCAATAGGCCAAAATACCTTATTGAATGTTTGTTACATTATACACGACTGACTGAAATCAATGACCTCATTAGAATCATTCTTGATGAGATCATCGAGTGATGACCACGCACTGTAACCATTGTAAAACTGTAATGTAACACTATTAATTTATCTTAATCTTGTTACTTAATTGTTTTTGTTTTCAAGTCTAAACGAAAAACTAATAATGACATACTGAGTCTGAGAAATACAATGTCAGTTTTATTATTTAACACCTTCAGTTTCTGAGACTACAGCCTACCGTTTATCATCATCTGGAACCCTGTGTAGGATTCTAAGTAAAGCGGAAATTAGGGTGGCATTTAGACCTACAAACTAATTCAGGAAAAATCTCTGTAGGTCAAAAGATCCTATTGATCCAATAAAACACAATAATGTAGTCTAGCAACTACCTTACAATGACTGTTAGATCAAATAAATACACAGGTCACACCAATAGATCGGAGGTAGTCATATTATCCGAGCAGAAGAATTTAGCTAAGTGTGGAATCAAAGACACCCCGAAGATGAGTAGTTTATAGTTTACAATCAACACACAATAGAGCTACAGTTCAAAAAGTTGATCACCGAAGCTTTGCTGATTGAGTCTACACCTATCATGTGCAGTAGGAATGACTCAAACACAATACAAGAGATATGGGAAATATCACCAGTAAAATCAGAGGATGAAAAATAATAGAATTATGTAGATAAAATCTAAAAGGTTATGTGAATGCCTTGGTATGATTATAAACAATATATAGTGTTCAAAACATCATCAATAAATAACGCTATATGACTGCATGATTATATCAAACAAATTTATTATGGTATCATACTCTATCACACTGCCCAAGTCCCATTCTTATATTAATCAGTGTACCGTTCAGCTCAACAATAACCACTCTTCTGCGTTCATCCAACTTTCTACATTATCATATCATAGGGAGCACTTAAGAAAATTCTAAAACAACACACGCATAAATGCTTGATCACTCAACAAATATCAATATATTAAGTGAGGCATATTCGTGATTACAGGCGTAAGAGGATTGAAGGGGGAGGGGAAATATAAATCAGAGGAAAAAGAAAAATTATTTCGCTGTCAACAAAAGAAATAGTGAAGTGAAATTTTCTAACAACGGAAAGAAATTAGAGGTTCATTTTAGCTACATACACACACATTGTAGCTAAAACAAGAAGCAAGGTTTGTGGAGACTTTTCCATATATATATAATTTAACAAAATAAACGGAATACAAATGAAAAGCGAAGATGTGTATATTGACTGTGTTAGACAAGATGAAGAGAGGACTTCGCTGGCATTGCATTAAAAAAAAACAAATTTATACACATAAGGAGATGGTGAAACAATAGTATTAAAGGTGACAAAACAAAGTAATATGATGTCACACAAACAAACAAGCCAAACGGACGAATCAATACGACGCTGGAAGTGGGAAGCATAAGAATCATGTTCTAACAACGAACAATTGCACAGTTGAATGAATCAATGAATACACGCACACCATGGGTAATGAAGGAACAAAGGACTACATTTTCTTTCTCTATACATAAACAAAATCAACTGGTAAACTAATGATGTTAATCGAAAACACTCACCAATAGATGTAATGTGTATTATTACTATATGAACAGAATTTTCCAACTTAGTAGGCAATTTCTTTTAAAACAAGCGAATTATTTAATTAAAGAAAGGGAGCAGAAGCAAATACATCAGTGACAACATTAAAAATAGAAAAATTCGAGTGGGTAGTGGTAGTTCTTTACAAATTATTTTAGTCAGTTATGCAGATTTAACTAAAATAAGGTAAGAAAAAGAACAGGGGGGAGTGATCTTTCCCGGATGAAAGATCACACAGAAAACAGAAGATCCTAGTTGTTGTTTTTTTGTAAAAAATCATATCATTCAAGGGAAAGCGAAGCATATTAAAATTACTATTATTATTATTCAGTTGGGAACAGATCAACAACTTCAACAAGGATGTAGAATAAACAAATCCAGGGACAAATTAGACCACCACAATATTCATTAATTACTTACTTGCTATTCATATACTAAATTGTGTGAAAATTGTTCCTTTTAGGCGAAATAACCAATAATTGTATGAAGAAAGAAAGAGAACCAGAACGAGAAATTATAATCACATTCTAACAACATTACGTAAGCGTAACTAATCGGTGTGTATAGACTTACAGGCTAGCAATCATGAAAAATTACTTCCTTATAATTATTATCACTCACTCACATACACGCAATAGGACTTTAGCGGAGAAAACAAGAAAAAGACAATTAAGGCACAGCCACTTCATCAAATCTATTAACTGGCAGCTGTTGTAGATGTATAGTGTGGTGCTTCATTAACATGTTGATGGGAAAGAGTAGTCTCACTAATATGGAAGTGGTGGGGCGGGAGGTGAAAGCAAGAATCTTCGTGTTGCAAATATGCCGCAAGATGAAGGAAAATGGATTGATTATTTCGTTCATGATGAGTACTGTTGTTTTTCTCTTCATTTGCTCTTTGATTTATCTTTAGATTTCAAAGAGAAAGATGGCAGTTTGAAACGCCTTTTCTTTTTCTTATGTTTACCCTAAAGAATAGAAGACAGAAATAAAAGTAATACAGCAAAGGGCATTATGATGCAGTGAAAGTGAGAAAGTTTTATGTGAGAAATTAAATCATCAGGATAAGTGTAGTTATATATTTCACATTTTACAGTAATTTCTTTAGACAGGTCAGCTTCACAATTAGTAGTCCAATAAAATAAAGATCATTAATGTGAATGTAGAACTTGGGTACTGTGTTAGAAAGTAATTCCATACTAGATAAGTTTATTTCAAATTCACACAGTGATACAGTGTTAACGACTGGTGTTAATATTGCATCACTGTGTGAATTTAAAATAAACTTATGTAATATGGAATTGAATAAAGATCATTGTTGCTAACGTTTATGATTGTCTATTCAGTCGTCCGCACTGTAAGTTCGTTTATTACTGAGATTTAGATATACATATTGAGCTTTATTTTTACCCTGCCATTGACTTATTTGCTTAAGCATTCAACTCTCAGCCAATGAGTTCAAGGATCAATTCTCGCTCCACTCACTTTAACCGCAGACCACTGGGTAGTATAACTAGCCCACATCCTGGTAGCTGAAAGTTCTAACCATCACTATTGCTACCACCGGTTGCGATTATTTGAATAAAACTTGAATGTGTGTAACTTAGTGTCTGTAAAGACCACGAGAGAATAATCATATTTCTGTCAACGGTTAATCTGTCACCGTTTGGTATATCTTGATAAAAAGAGTAATTTAATAACAGATAGTTAGAGGCAATTAGCAAGAAGCCCTGAACTCCCGTGATTCTTAGCAGTTGTTATTAAGGTAAGGCGATACGCTAAGTTTAGACCTCGTCAATTGCCTCCAATCAGCCGACGCTAATTCAAAAAGTGTACAGCGGTGGGTAGCCTCCTGTTTTGGTGACCACATCGCAAACTGACTGGTAGAAATTATTCAGAACCAATACTAAGGACCAGGCACGAGACACTGGTTACACACGCTCCTGCCCTAGTGACTAGTTAGCTGAATGATTTACTACTACCAAAATTACCAACTTACATCACTTTCACTTATATCTTCTGTTCCACTCGGCTCCGATGTTAACGTTCCCGTGGCAGTTGGTGGTGCTAGACGACCTGTATAGCATGAAAAGATATGGAGAGGGTACAATTACATTATTTCTTAAGAGATATATCAGGAAAATATCAGTAGTGATAATGTTAAAAATAATATTATCATTACAGTTTATAGTGATAAACTAAACTAATACTACAGAACTAGTTAGTTATGATAAAATAAATACTAATTAAAATATATTCAACCGACCAGTAATTGGACTATCGACTGGATAAGTTTCAGAATGACGAATCTCTCCAACCATCAATTCATGTGGTTCATGTAAAGATGGTGATAGTTCAGACAGTTGTACCAGAGAATGAGTCGCTGAAATCATCGTCCCACACACCCATAGGAGTATATGCAAACAGGAGGATACATTCCAAAATTTTCACCAAATACGAAGAAATAGCGGTAATCAAGCAGGCAGGCAAATGTGATGAAGCGATAAATAGATGAAGTAAAGAAAATAAATATGTATATCAATAAAATGAGCGATACAATAACCAAGTTAATAATAATCACCATAAACAAATAACTATGACAATGGTAATGATGAGGATAATGAAAAAAAAATTATGGTGGGTTAAATTACTGATGATAGCATGACATGCAATGATTTATTCTATCAATGGATGAATTGCAGTTGCAGTTAAATGTGAATGGGTATATATATGACAATCAAAAACAGCCTGAAGGTGATTTACTTTGCTTTCGGGGTAATAATGAACATGCATGCAGATGAGCGATTATCAATAGAGCAATGCTCGATTTTATACAAATAAAGACAATGAGGCAAATTGGAGACCAGTACACTTGCAATATATATATATATATATATATATATATATGACGATGGCATCCATTCGGATAAATCATGCGATGACGTACAATTTCATAATTGTTATTATTCATGTAAGCGTTCATGCCAACAGGGGATGAGCCAATAAAAAACAGACGTAGGAAAGTTATCTGTATGTCTGTATTCTTCTGGATTACATTGCTAGCTAACACCAACCAAATAGCAGTTCGGAAAAGGTATGCGAATATGAAGTAAGATAGAGACACCGCTCACTTACGGATTCATGAAAAAACGTAACCTAGCGTTCGTTCTCTGAAGTGACGCACTTTTCTGCAACATTCTATGTTGAAACTCAGGCAATCAATTCACTCGCCATTATGTTATTATAATTATACATATAAACTTAACTAAGTAAGGAAACAATCTCAACATTCTCATTTGTATTTCCGCGTAGTATATGAGTTAGTATCGATTATGTAACAGTCTTCACAAATAGCTCCCGAAAAATATCGATTGCCACAATGAAAACGGTAGTGTAAATTCCACTTTACAAGTCACTAACGCAATAGATATGATCTCATGAAAATTTCCTAAAGCCGAAATATCTCCCAGAACTTTTTCTCAGATGAACAATTCCTTCCGTCACAGTAAACTAAAAATAAGCTTTAAAATATAAAGATAGTAAAATGAATGGAGCAAGCAAACAAACAAAGCATACCTGGACCAAGTTCACTAGCACTTTCTAGGTCTGTAGCTCCACTGTCAACCGCTAGCGAATCCATAAGATGTGTAGTATTACTAGGTGCTTCGAAAGATGTATCCTGACCAGCAGCATGATGACGACGATCCATTTCAGCAAGTAATTCAGGATTATTTTTCAGCTCTATTTCACGTCTATACATTTCTAATTCCTCATCTGTAATTTTCTCAAATGGATTTTGATGGGAATAAAGACCCTATAAAAGAAGAAGAGGGGAATGTAAGCAAGTTATTGTTAAGCCTGAATATCACTCCAGAGGGTACAACACAAAGAGTGATAGTCCTCTGTAATATGTAGTGAATACGACTACCAAAGTGAGAAAGTAGGAGTGGAATTAAAGGTTACTCTTCTAACTGTGTCAAAAAATTAAAACATTAGCAAAACAGCAGTAAATAAGAAGCATAGTAACTTTAACGCTCTATACTGAAGATCAGATGGCCAGAAAGGACTGGTAACAAGGAATTCTGTCAACGAACCAACCAACAACCTATTGCCCAAGAAAGATGCAGAAGAAAATGGGGATGGATCAAGCATACACTAAGAGGAGACCGTTGAGTGATATCGCGCACCAGGTTGTCGAGTGGAAAATGAATGGTAAACGAACAGTTGTGCGTTGCACCGAGGGTGACATGGAAGAGATCGTGTAAGAAGGAGATTAGAGTTTATGGGTGGTCGTGGAGCGAGCCCAAGAAAATATGGACTCAAAATAAACAACAACAGAAAATAAGAGACAACTTACATCATAGATAACTGCTGCATTACGAACATCACGCTGGATGATTGCTTTACTGGCTGCAGCTACAGGCATTTCACTAGTAACTCCACCCGCTACTAAAGCAGCAGCTCTTGGACCAAGCACTTTCACTAGGCCTTCGTCACGAACACGTCTAGCTTCATCCCATGTAAGACCATCCAGTAATCGAGACTGAGGTCCAGCTGTATTGGTATCATGGTAATACTTCGCTTTGACCTATAAGGAAAGGAAATAATACAATACTAACTATTATCATCAAAATTCACTAATACATATAATGCATTTTCTAGAGCTATTGCTATTGACTAGAATTCATAAATAGTCGTTTTGTATCTTGAATATCTTGTTGAACGCAACACGATAAATATGACAATATTAATCTTTATCACTGAAAGCATTTGGAAGTGCTGATCATTTGCTTGTTGGAACTTGTACAACGCACAGAGGAGGATGGATCATGATTCATGTTCGAACAAGTTTAGAATGGTAGTTAAAACGTATTACGATTACAAAACGTTATATACACATACCATTTAAAGTGTGTATCACAGAACATATTCAGGAGAAATTAAACTAATAGCAGCCAATACCAAGAACCTTCTAAATGCCCTTGAGTCGAGCAGTCACCGTATCGACAATGAATGTTGTGTATGCGTTGCGTTTACAGTTCTCGCTTGATCTGGTTCTCTAGTTCTGTGAAAATAATGAATTATTTATCATCCTTAACTGGAAAATTTTCTTACACCAGTGGTGGTCCAGGGTCATAAAGAAAGTTCTTGGTGTTGACTCCTATGGTTTGACATTTTCCCACTTTCGTTTTTGCTCCTCGAGGTAAAATGTGAAAGGATGGAATCAAAACAAACAATTACCTATAGATAACTTACGCTGGTGATAGTTACATATATTTACGCTACCTGAAATAAAACCATGTCAGTTCGGTTTGCTACAACTTACACTAAAATATCGAGTTGGAAGACAATATAAACAGGTAAAGTGAAAATATCAACACTCTTAAAAAGCTATAAGACGTAAGTTTCTAAACGAAGACAAGATATAGGTAGCAGTGATTCGCTATGATCAATTTCTAACCATGTCACCAGAAATTTCCAGTAATGGATTTGTTACATTGTGGATAGCAAGTGAGAGCCACTACTTCTGGTGCTACGAATCGGAATATAACCTGAAATGTGTGTTTGTCTTCCCAAGGATGAAACGAAGGTTACAGCTTTCAATAAATGTGCTTGAGAGGAAGAAACAGGAAATCTGTATACTGAAGTCGTTGTCCAACTTTACATGATCAGAGCACAAAAATACACTGCAAAAAACATGTATTGCGTAGGATCTAAACAGACTATCACTTGTAAAAAAGAAATAGATCTTACCTTCTTCTGTTGGTCACGATATTCTTTCGGATTAGACCCTTGAGGGGCGAAAACATTGTACGGTGAGAGGACTGAAGAAGTGCCTGTCGCTGGTCCACCAGTCGAACCAAGTGGTACTGCTCCATGAGTTAAAGGATGAAATGGTGCTGGAGGAGGTAGAGCACCATTACATATTGCATTATGAACAGCCGCTTCTCGTTCACAAACCCAGTGTGAAACTGGTTGATGACCTGGGGCAGGTTCAATTACCTCCTTGGTGTATTTATTTGGCGTATTGAACCATCGCTTCTCCGAAAATTCGCGCCTCAGAGTTCTGAAAAATATATGTTTACCTTTAAAATCAACCTTATTTGGAAAATACAAAAATATATGAGAAATAGCAGTAAAAAATACTACAATTATAGGCACGAAGATCACTTCCTAAATGATACAATAACACCACTTACTAAAAGGCAATGGGCTAGTGAAGTAAGAACTGTGAATTATAGGGCTATAAAGTAATACAGAATATATTCAGGTATGTAATTTGGTATGTGAACACAAAACTGCAATGTCTTGTTTCTGTAACTTCCACATTGGAAATCAACAATTACAATCAATTACGTTTTGCGCATCAAAACAACACTGGTTATGATGTGTTGCACTAATGCCGAATCAGTTATCTAATTGAGGGAAATATCTTTTCATTATAGGAATTTGCAAAAAGAAAAAATGGACAAATCACAATGATAAAATATACCACGGGATCGATTCAGTTAACTTTAACACGTCCTTGTTTTGTTTAACATTTATGATACTGAGTGGGTGGTTTTCAATACAGGTGATGATGAAATCTCAGTTACAAAAAGTGATGTGTTTAATTTTCCAGGCATTCTTTCGATGTGTTAGTAGATCGTGTTGTGAGGCAGCGACGGAACAACACCATATACTGGTGACATCTGACCACCTGAATTGCAAGGTGAGAAAGAATAACCTTAGTTAACGGATTATTTGATTAAGGTCGACTACGTGGGACAGATTTGTCATGCACCAGGCTAAGACGCAAACTTATAGTATGAGGGCTGATGATACTACCAAGTTGCCCATACTGAAATAGGTGGGGGCTAGGACCTGCGGCCCATGTGCTGAAATCCGACTGCTTGGACCGATGAACCACATCTCTGAGGACTATGTAGTATCCTGATAGTCTATGATCCCCAAAAATACTGACTGTTATCCAGCCGATATAATATTAATTTGGCTGACAAGATGTAATGGAAGTGGAGGTTGAATACTCAGAAATTAACCTGACCACTTGTTTTCCACGAAGGTTATATATTTCACTCTTTCTGGACAAAGTTTACACTCAAACTATTTTGGTTTCATGTAGTGAATCCAGTTGGTTCAAAGGTTAACACAGTGGTAAACACCATTAGCTCCAGTAGATTTTCCACTATCGGTAAATATGTATCAGTAAAGCGCAGCTATATGAAATTTTCAACTATCCAAATCGAGAAATTTTTTTATGCAAGCGCTAACTTTGATTCATGATTCTTAACATTTTTAACTTTCCTTGTGATTTGAAGAGTAAATATCAAAAACCAAGTTAGTAAATCCCAACCATTTATCCACACATCAGTAATACCGATGTAAAATACACACTAACCATAAAATCCTTTACAGCTAATATTTAGTATCATATCAAATAATAAAACCAGTGAAATATATTTCATGTATAACTACAGGAATATGGTGAAAATGTGTTAACTGAAATAAGTATTCAGTACTTTTCAGTGTGTCAAGATGAAATGAAAATGTTAAAGGATGCAGTTTTTTTAGAAACTTTGAAAAGAATTAGAAACTGTTACTTACGAGGGTCTAGGTGTGTCAGTCTCATCACCTGAAAGAACTCCATCGTCATAATAGTAAGCCATTGTAGCAGTTACAGATGATGCAGATGGTGGAATTTGTATTTCATCATCTTGACTACTGGCTCCATGACCGTTTATAACTCTGCTTTTTCGAGATCTATGTGGACTTGCCATAGCCTCCTAAAACAATCATATAGAAAGACAAAGTATTCGAATATGTTCGTAAACTATAAATATTACAATACTACATTCCTTCCCTTAGAGTGTAGTTAAAACTAAACGAGTGTATATACACTAAACTCTCTTCTACAGTGAATGAGTGTCTACTAACCACTTTATTATCGAGACTTTTCTAGACAAATATTGTTACCTTTTTTGCATTTTTCATAGACTGTATTCTACTTGTACATTCCAGATGATTATAAGAGTAGATATCCTTCAAGTTTCAAATGAAATTGGAAAAGAAAACCAAGTGAATAACTAAGCCTTAATCTGTTAACAATAGCAGCTTTTCTGATAAATGGTCGCCATACAGAGTAACTTAAATTCATTTCTCAGAACATAATCCGTGAGTGTAAATTATACGTTGGGTTTTAAACCGGAGGCTGCAAACGATTGGAATATAAGTACACAACTACCACTGACAAGTTACACATCACAAACACTGTTTCATATTTTTGCATATTATCGATATATTTATGAGGTTAATTGGTCGATTAGAACACTTATCCATTTACCAAAATACGAAGTTGGCAAAGATTCTTACAGAATTACTAAACATTGTGCAGTTCATCACTATGGGAAAAAATCAACTACTCTTCTTAAGAAAAAGGACCGTTTTAAACTGAGAAACACACATTGACTAAATAATAAGAGGGAAGTGGAGACTCAACAATACCTGTCTGTAAAGATGGCCTGTACGGCATCCAGCATTGTCTAAATGACGCATCATAGCTTCGAATTCAAGCTCACCAAGGCGCCACGGCCTTGTTAAAGTGTTTTCTGCATTTGAACGATCTGATGCGAATCCATTTGTCGCAGAATGATGTCCTCTCTCACCGCTGTGAGATCTATTAGGTGAAGACAGCCTCATTGCTAGTGCAGCTTCCGGTCCACTAAGACCACCCAACCCCGCTGTTCTCCAGGTTTCATATGTTTTTTGTTTCAGTTTCTCCGTTGGAAGTATAAGGTTTTCAGAGCCCACTGAGGCTAACAAAAGCTAAATGAAAAGCAAAATATTTTTTAGACATAAAGATAACTAAGTCAACGAACTAGACATATAATAACGCTGAAAATTTAAGAAAAACTGTAGACAATAAGTGATCTAATCAATTTTTCATAACCTTAGTGAATACAGTAGAACTAGATGCCAATCACATTGCTATACATACGTCACTTGATCTTGGAGTACTTTTCAAAAGAAGCCAAAACATATGCTCTTCAAGCATCAACTTGAGATGGTAAGTCACAGTAGATGATTTAATTTGTCGATTAAAGGCCGTAATTCTTTAATCCTATCATAGAGTAAATTTATTTATTTACCACAGTATCCGAATTCTATTCTTATATCAGTAATTTCATTTTTCTAACAACACAAAAGACAATACGCATTTTCAAAACGTTGATACTTGTGGAAAAAAAATCTGGGTAATTCGGAAAGGAAGTTTCATCCCTATTAGTGACGCCGCATAATTACTAATAATTGACACTAGTTCACTAGCACACACCAACAAACTCGAGGCTCCGCAAGTCCTGTTTGCAGGATTTACTCGCTACGGTCTGTTTAGCACAACGGTTACTCATAATATTTTTCAATTTACAGACTGCCGGTTCAAAGATTTTTAGTGTCAATGACTGACATATGTATCCGAAAACTTTACATGAGCTCTTTTAACTAAACCTTTACATATGACATCATAAAGATTGTTCCAGAATTTATTTTGATAAAGTCTCACAGTGTTATACAGTAATATTTACTGATAACGTTTTGAGCACAATTTATTGTTCATAATCATATCAAGGTACTTACACAACTTTCTAACTTTGTTTATATATTTCCATTATTTTTCATCGCTTGACTTGATTCGTAGTAGTATTTTCCGTATTTCCGGTATGGGTGATGAGTCATTCCTATTGTATGTGTTGGGTGTTGACTCGATGAACAAGGATTCAGTAATCAGCCTCACTGTCCACCTACCTAGATTACCTTTTAGAATTTTAACTCTCTCCCACCATATTGTGTGGTTGTTTGTTAATGCATGCAGTCCAGTTGTTGAGCTTTTTTCTAAATTACTTATTTTCTCGGGGTCAACCATTCTTACCTTAGCTAAATTCTTACGTTCCCACAATCTGACTACCCTCGACGTACTAGTTTGACCTTTGTAGTTGACCTCACTCATAATCATTGCAAGGTATTTTGTAAATTATATTATTTTGTCTAATTGGGTCCACCGGGTCCTTTAACCTACAAAGCTTGTCCTACCTGAGTGAGTTCGTATGTTTGAATGCCACCCTAATTCCTGCTTTATTAAGAATCCTACGTAGGGTCTCAGATGTCCCCTCCGTATATGGTAAAACTACTGTAGATGCCTTATATTCTCATTTATGTTATCATTACTAGTTTCACAATTATTCCTTATTTTGTTTTTGGCCTTTCCTGATCTTCCTATTGAATTTTATAGGACAGTTATTTGACACCAACGTCTCTTCTATCTGTTTCATTTCATCACTTAGGTCTTTTCTTGTACTACTTAGTGCTACTGCTCGGTTTTTTAGACAAACACCTAACTAAGCCTGCCTTCACAGACAGATAACGGATGAGATGAATTAAAGTCTAAATATCTGTTAGAATGCGTTGGTTTTTTATAAACGCTAGTGCGTAGTTTACCTTTTTCTGTTCGTTTTAGTTTACAATCTAACAAAACTAATTCTCCTTGTTCATTTTCCGATTCAAATGTTAATTTTATTCCCTCTACTACTGAGTTTATATGTGTCAAGAAGCTAGAGATATGTTCTGTTTTTAACTCTGTGAAAGTGTCATCCACATATCTCCACCATATTTTTGGAGTAAGATTAAATGCATTAAAAGCAATATTTTCCCAGCTGTCCCATAAAGATATCTGCTAGGGTAGGGGATATTGGTGATCCCATTGCTACACCTTCTGTTTGGTATAGGAGTTATGTATCCAGAAGAAACGTGCACATGAGAGGTACAAAATAATAAACTCGAAATTTTCAATTTTCACCCGTCCAGATACTTATGTTAAATGCAACCACAACCACAAAATTCTGCTCCAGATTACAAAATAACACGAAAACTAGTTGGAAGATCACATGACATGTTATCTTCATGTCATATCACACCCTAATAGATACTTTGACTTTGGATCATCCCATCTTGTAACAGTAAAGGAAGGTCTAGTACAACGTTTAAGTAACTGAGCCTCGAGTCTGACCAAAAGTTGGAAAACTCACATAAAGATATCAAGCAGACGAAAGGAACATTACCGCTAAATAACTTCACTAGAATTCACTCACAAATTTATAAAGACTAATAAGAAAGACAGAATCAGTTATTCAAATAATGACCATAGTCCAGCCAGAGACTACGCTTAAACCTCTAATGTACGATTCGTCATATGACTATGAGTGACAAATAGTGCTTGAAACGAAATACGAAGTCATTCTCTACCAGAATGTTCTAGTTATACTCTTGAAATAATTATATATGGAACTACCAAAACCTGACTGACCGGTTTCAGTATAGAACTTTGCACCGATGTGCAGCAGTTCAAGTCTCCACACTCCATGTAGCACACAAAGCAAAAGAAGAAAGTAAAGAGAAATGCAAAATAGAGACAGTAAACAGAGATTTGAGGCAAACAGAACAATAATATGGAAGAAACAGTAGTTTTATTGGGTGTTATAAGTCACAAGGAGTGGATACATCTGCGTCAACCATTGAGAACGATGGCTTTGAGCCATATCACCAATTGTGTCCAGTCATTGGTTTTCACCGTCCTGGGGACCCCAACCAGTCAGGAAGTCCACACCTTCCTACGTGACTGGCTTAAACTAACTGTTGTGGGTTTTATTGACTGATAAAGCCATGTTTGGGTCTTCTCCAACTTGACCCTATGTCAGCTAATATTACCTGTCGAGGAAGGCGATCGATGGCTAGGCATACGTGGCACATGAACTAACAAAACCCCACACACAATTTACAAAAAAGGTTATTTACTTGAGTATCACATGCTACAATCGCATTGGTTGCATAGTGCCACGCCTCTTCAACAGTCTCGCCCAAAGCAAGCAACCCCAAACTTCGTAGAAACAGAATACGAGCGGTTGGACCTAAGGCTTCACTAACAGCTGCGCACTCAGCTGCCCAATCCTTAGCATCGCTGAACTCCCCATTTGTATCATTATTCGTTCTGGAGTTCAATCCACCGGTTGGTGTATAATATGCAACTTCGCCCAAGATCATTGCTTCGTTGCACAAAGGCAATAAACCAGACTTCATACAAGATACCTAAAAGGAAAAGCACATCGTGCATTAAAACTTGAGAAAGTTGTAGAGACATACTAAACTAAAAGATAAAACGAAAAATGGAATATTACTCAAGAATCACTTGCATTTTACAAACAGTTGGCAATGGACCACACTTAATGTGATACTTCCAGGTGCTAAAGCCTGAATAATTGGGATTTGAGTGTCTACTAATTCAACAAGTTGCATTTCTACATTGTTTTTAGATATATGAAAGTGAATTATAAACCGTAATCATAAATGGTATTTACCACTCAAATGCTTCATATCAAGCCGATCAATTTAGTGTCTCACTAATTTTGATTTTCAAACACCATAGTCTCCGCTTGGATCGTCTTTCTAAATATCAGCTGGAAACACGAAATACGTAATGGAAACTTCGTAAGTTCTCCACACAAGAAATTGAGAAAGATTTACTCTGGGATTAATATGGTATGAAAGATTTTCGTCGAAAAATGTCCCCCATAAGGTGACATTTGATGCTTGTTATGTGAACTGGCAAGAAAAACAAAATACAAATGATGTTATCTTCCAGTGCACTAACACGGTGGTAATGAGAAGATACAAAACAACTATTGGATATAGTATGTACTCCTGATATAATTAACCAAGGATCAAGAGGAGAAAATAGAAGGCTGAAATCAAAGACTAAGATAGAGTGTGTGTATGTACGTATCGAATGGATTATCTGAACTGAAACGTTTGGAGAAAAGTGATTCTTACAGCAACGGTTGATGGAGTATCCAAATGTATTATGCATCGTATATCTGCTCGAGCTGAATGTACAGCAGAGTGTAAAGCCCATGTCGCTTGGTTGACACCCAGTATAGTAGATCCTGGATCAAGTATTTGACCTGTTAAATGAAAAATAAAAACAATTAGACACACTTTCACATAAGATAGTGACCAGCACTTCGTGCGACATCAAATGACATCTAAAGTCTACAATTCTTACGAATATGACCGTCAGCATTTTAACATATAGAGTAGACTAGTTCTAAGAACTTATGTTTGCCTTAATAGTAAGCAAAAAACGTTATCTGCCACATTTGAATTCCCATGAAAAATCACCTAATAACATTGATTGATAACTCCCATTTGCTCGCTCCATTGGATTCATTCAATCAGTTTTCTTATAATACATAAAACTCTTGTATGGATAACAGTGGTGATAACGCTTCCCCGAGTATTTTGTTTTCTGGTAGCACGTACTATAGATGTTAGATGGTTGGAGGCAATCGGCAGGTAGCCTTGGACCTAGGTTTCGTGCTGGTTGGCACTCATCAGCAAGGTGTATCTCCAGCCTCGGAGGAACTCATGTCCCTTCTGAGATTCGAACCCGAACTATAGGTGTATTTTCACTAAGTCAGTGGCCGTATTCCAACGCGGCACTCAGTGGTTCAAACACAAGTGAAATCGACTAAGCTGTTGAAGTTTGAAGGACTTTTCTTTTCAGTACTGATTAAGTTTTTCCATAGCACATTTTTGCATGGGTGGCAATACTCACAGCGTATTTTCTTAACTGTTAGGCAACAAACAACTAGAAAACGTCAAACAAACTAATTTCTAAGTACTGACTAAACAAGTTCATGAGTATCACAGACAATTTATTGCATTTATGTGCAGCCCAATAGTTCTGAAATATGTTAGTCGAGTCTCCTTCACACTCGCCGACCAGTATTTGATATAGTTTCGTAGCGTAATTTGTTTTCCCCATCATGCTTTAGCGTTCTATCGTCAGGCCATTCCGTTTAATGAATTCAAACATTTTATTAAAAACAAGAACAAACAAACGAAACAACAATCAGCAGAGGGTTGGCTTCATCAGTTACTTGATTTCTAACATAATCCGGTGAAGGACTACTGTTAATTGTTGAGTCTAGAGATTATTGTGATCCATTGATAACTCAAGTCTCAACTTAAAAGCAAGTATATCTATAGTCAATAATTTAAACATTTGCAAGAGTAAACTAGAGAAACTGGTGAATTCCTTATATGTTAATTGTGAATTTAATTACCTGAAGCAGATCTTTGGTGTATCAGATAAAAAGTCGCACTTATCGTGTGAGGTTACCTAGTTGTCCAGGCTGAAGTAAGTCGAGAGGGAATTCAACGAGTGAATCATTGGCTGAAAAACATCAGTTTTTCATATATATATATATATGTATACGGTCACTACCATGTTAGCTTACCTTTGGAGTCAACTTTTATAAGAGAAGAAGCAGTTATCTCATGATAAAGCAGGCCGAAAGGATTCACTAGGTAATGTTCATGATTGCGGCTTACACATACCTGAAATAACGAAAACAATGACGGTGTACCTAAATAGTTACTTCAAAGTATTTACACAATGTAACGAAAATTAGGGTACGAAATAAAAGTTATATTTTATGTTGAGATTTATTTTAAAATGATACAAGACAGTCGCAGAGGGACTCTGGTTTAGTGAATATTCTTGTGTAAACTGATTCCATAGTAACGGGTAGGAGAATAGTACCATGCCAAAATGCGATGAGTCCAACAGATTTAAGTTCTTTGGTAGAAAAATTATTAAGCGCATCTTAAGATCTAGATCAACCACGGTACTTCCAAACACAGTGCACCAGGAGTACGATTGATATTGAGTTTCCTTACTTACACTGTTTTTATCATTGTGACGAACTCTTGACTAGTGTCAACAAGCACCAAATTCAGATTCCGATGTTCCCGTTGACTGCTTTAAACTACGAAAGTTGCATACAGCTGAATGTCTCATTATCCCGTCTACCTTTGTGTGGCAACTCGAATTGCTGCACTTCGGTGCCAAGTTCTATGTTGAATCCAGCAGCAGCAGCAGCAACAGCTGAATGTAAATCTTCCAATCTAAATGTCACACTGAGTGCAACAATTTCCTCGTAATTTTACTGGATGACATGGAAACTTCAAAATGACAAGTGGCAATTCATCTACATGTGCACCTCCTAATACAAATCAGCATAAAACCTCATTTATTGGTATCTTTAGAACATATATACTCGTTAAAGTTTGGCGAAATTTAAACTCGTTGGTTTGCCACCACAAACCTTGAAGAACGGCGGTCAGTAATCAAGACTCATAGGAGCATCAAATGAAGTACGAGAATCAGGGATAACTTAGGTGGCAATTCTAAATTGTAAACAGAAGAGCCTTGCCATATTCGACAGGATTCCAGGATCCATGTTCGATTGACGCCTAAATAAAAAAGAATTGATTCAGCTGGGACATTCCTAAGTACTCTGTTTGACACCGAAAGGATATCCGATTATCAAAACTCAGATGCCGTAGTGAGCAGCAATCTGGTTTGTTCATACAAGCATATTGTGCAGCTGAATTCATTTCGACGTTGCAATTCTGAATCCATGGGCATTCATAGACGAGTTTTTAAAATTGTCTTTTGATTTTTTACTTTGACATTTTTTATCACTCCTTGATTACCCTTTTGTTATTGTGAAATAGGGCGGTGCACGTCAGATAAGTTAAACACATGGGGAACATAGGGATTCACCGAGTTGGAATATACTGTTTCACATGAGACTACCCACTTGGAGTCGACGGGTGTTTTACCCGTTTAGGCAAACTAATTACAACTAACAAGTCAGAGGTTTAAAGGGTGATACACTTATTGTGGCTTGAAACGCTGACAATAATTACTAACTACAAAAACGATATTTTCTAAATTTACTTATGAACTTGCACATGATTGAACAGGTGTGTAGTTCTTTGGTTAGTTTTCTAAGCTCATCAGCTGAATGTATTCTTGAACACAGTTTATATAAAGTACTGTTTATCGAAATATAGTTAGTGAGATGAGAAACCAGAAGACTGAAATACTTGATTGACCTTTATGTTTAAAGAATTAGCATCATTTATCTTCTTTATTAAATCATTATAATTTAGGTGAAAAGGTACTTACAGTCACATGATTATAGATACTAGAATTCCAACCAAAGAGGTCAATTAGACGATATACTGAAGCCAACTTGCACCGAAGAGAACGCTCGCGACGAGAATACACAGCAGCATCACCACCACGAAGGTCGTTTATGGGAATAACACCACTTCGATGGCCTGAACAAAATAGCAAGATGGACATGACAGACATTCACGTAGGAAAACACATGAGAAGCAATAATACTAACATGCGAGTGACCACTTACACTACCTCCCTTCGACAAAATGCAGTAAAAGACGTACACTGCATTATTTCAAAACAACATAACATTCGTTCCCTTACGCATTTTTAACTAGAAGTAATCGAAATTCGTCTTGTCACTCCTGTGAACATTATGCAACCGCTTGAGTCAAGCCCAAATGTGAAAGTAGGGGTCATATATTAGGACACGCCTCCACTAACGCGTGGAACATATGGTTACATATCGGTGTAACTGAAATAATAAATATGGAAGGAATAATATATCACTACACTCAACACGGCTATACAATTATCCAGCAAAGAAGGGTAATGACGCATTTACAAAGTCTACATAATGACCTATTGAGCCTGTTACATTTCAGAGAAGCGCTAAAATAATGGTGGCATAAAATATCATGTATGTTTGCATGGCAACATGATATGGCAGCCTTGACATGATCAAGAGCAATAAATTTTGCTCGAAACGTCATCAGTAAACATTACTGTATAACACTGTGACTTTATCAAAATAAATTTTATCCATAATGGAACATGAAAGCACCCCTGAAGTCTACAAAGCAAGTTCGAACACATATGTTTACGACAAACTTCGTAAAACATGGGCACCGAGAGATACGCGGCGTGGTCGGTATCCTAGGGTACTAGATTAGGCGTCTGTACCTGAGTAATCCCAGACGATTCTGTGGTTTGCTGTCTCATAGCTGATAAGGAATCGATATTTAGGAAGTATGGAAATAGCCCTTGCATGGGTTGAGAATAGAGATGGTCACTCCATGAAGTGTTGACACTTCATCCTTTTAGCTACTACTGAAATGAATTTGAAGTAATGAACTCTATTACGATAGACATGCATATAACGTCATTATTGGGTTCTTCGATTATTTTTAAATTTACGAAAAAATAATCATACAAAAATAGTGTACTAGAGAGGACATTGAAATTTTCAGTGCCACGGGAGACGCAAAAACTAACATAAGTTTGTTGACCTAGTTATAATTTTGACAAAGCTATTTAAAGAAATGATGCCAGCTTTTCAAAATTCAAATTTTAATAAGGAGAAAGATGATCTTTACAGTGTCACTTTTGCAGCAGAGGTCATTTGATCTCTCCAGGAAAAACAAAACTAGCAGTTCAGAGATATGGCACTCTGAGACACTGAAACAACACTAGGACAAACTAAGCACTCATTTACCATTATCGTCACAGCCGATAACCACACTTTACGTATTGACATTTACGGGGATTATAGTAGATTTTATTCTAGTTAGTGGTTATATGATGTGTTATTAGGAATGATACATTCTGTAGCTTTTAATTTTCCACAATTGAGGTATACTTGCAAAGACGCTGTCTTTTAAAGATTGCAGCTACAACTCGAGAACGGTTTCCGTCGTGTTCTTAATGAGTACTTCTATTTTGCTATCTGAAAGAGAGGGACAAATGGTAAACCACGTTCACTATGTCACTCATCTTGCGACCCACATCAGCTCTGGCAGGATGGGGGCCAACTAGTTGATAGCCCGGACACAAACAACTCGGTTGACTTTCGTCGCATTGTTAGGTGAGGTACCCGATCGCTTATTTAGAACGAAGTATACTACAAGATTATGTGCATTTTTCTCCTTTTGTCATGGAAGATACCTACATCAAGTGGATCAGCTGAGACATACTACCCGTGGCTGTCAGCAAGAACCAGAAATTACTATTTAGGCGAAAGCATGGATATTTTTGTAGAAAGCAAAGGGCGAGACAGCAAGGCATGGCACTGATACATGAAGTTACTGGGACTTTCCTTTAGATTGCCTAAGTGGGGTCCACTTAACAACATGGGATAACGGATAAGAGCTGTCATAATTACGCCTAAAGTGGTGCATTTGCATTTGTTTCAACCCCATCTTAACCACATTCTCTCATTTAATTCTTCACATTTCCTAGTTTACCGGGATACTACAACTCTCGGTCGTATAATCCTCTCATTACTGCATTACATATGCAAAGTTGTGACACACACTATCACCTGCAAAACGATGCCAAGTCGCATCAACACTCTGATACTGAAAGTCTATGAAAGAAAGTCATAGAAGGGAAAACCTAAATGAAACCAGAAAACAGATCTTGAAATCTTGCTATAAGCCAAAAAGACACAAATGCAATGGATTTTACAAATAATAGGGAATAACTTACCTCTTGAAAATCCACCTCCACTGACAGGTTGTCCAGAAGGAGCTGAATTGAATAAATCCGATATGTGTTGAAGAGACAGAAGGCTGGTGCTCATGCCAGGGTAGTCACCCGACTGACACTGTGATCGTACTACCTCTTCTAGTTCTCGTCGAAACGCTTCAGACTTTAATATGCCCGATACACGCCTTCTTTGTATCATTAAGTTAACATCTTCTTTGATTGCAGCAGGGCGCATCAAACTCTTTTGATACTCTGGATCTTCAGGGTCTGTGGGAAGCTAGGTATAGAAAACGCAACTAACCAATCGTATTAATGAACTTTTCCGGCTTATCTGATAACGTGACGCCATTGACAGCGTTGCTATCCGGCATAATTGCTGAAACAGATAAGTACAAGTGTCAAGACAAATTGTCTGAGAAACAATCAAGAAAAAACCAGGGACGAAATAATCCAACTAAGCCGCCGAAACTGAAAAGCGCCATGTACCTGATCAATAAAGAAAAAACTGTTCAAACAGTTGAAATATTTTAAAATAACTCATAAACACATGTGTAGAGCTTAAATTTAAGTATCTTCGGCGTGTATTTATCTACCTTTGCACACATAAATTTTTACTTAGATCAAATTTTGCTTCTAATAGTAAGCGTATAGTGTGCATGTGTCTTGTTCCAATTTACAATAAACTTTTACAGCTTAGCGCAAACCAAAATGATTTTTTGAGCTCTCTTCGTGATATAAAGATAACGAGTCCCCATCTCGGATGAGTTTCTGAATAGCATTTCCCACCAATGTCCTATAATATCTATGGTAAACTCATGATGCAGTGGTTTTGAAGGATCCAAAATCCAACATCGTTTTTAACGACCTGTTGTATACCAAATTGATTTCTTTGTGTTGGCTTCCTGGTCGTAAGATAAGGCTTGCTGACCTTTCATAGATCCCTGCGTAGTGTGTCCCTACACCCAACTGTCGTAGCTTTGGTTGACTCCAAGAGGAGTGATGAGGTGATAAGTTATATGTAGTTTGTAGTATACGATGCGTTAAGACAGTGTCGCTGCTGTGAATGGAGTTGATCCTTTCACCCGTTATTCGTCTGCCTTTATCTGCAATTGCAATTCTTGCCATAACCGCTCCAGACACAGAGGCTGAAGCACCATGTGTATCTGTCACTGGAAAAAGACCCTTATCGTCTGCCACTAGTAGTGCCCACAGCACTGAGACACACAATAATATCCAGTGGCACCAGACGAAACAAAACGGTCTTAAAGGGGATGACAAATGTGCGAGGACCGAACCTAAGTCCACGGTTAGTAGATCAAACTGTGTAATCCTCTTTGATGTACCAGACTGTAGTAGTAGGCTGCTGGAAAACAGGGCCCTGTTTGATCAGGAACAGTGGTCCAACTTGTGTAGCACACTGGATCTGGACATCCAACCAGTAAAACTATACAGATTGCATAGGGACACTGCTGCTCCTCAACGCAAACCATCCCCACTGAGGGTAACGCTGGGCTCTACCGAGGATGTCGAAAAAGTTTTACTGACTTCTCAAGTCCTTTCTATAGGGAGGGCCTGCAATATACGTGTTAGGCCAGATAGGCCATGGAAACGCTTGCGAGAAGCACTGTCACGATGTACAGCAATGGAGATGGTTGGCATCCCAGATGGCTCTGGGAAGTTCAGGGGCTTGTCTCTATTTATAGACTGCCTCGACCCACTCACCTTATGTCAATTAACACGCCACGTCTGTTAGCTGTCAAGTTCAGCTCCCGAGACCACTTGACTACTGCTCTCCAGAGATGGTACGAGACCAAGGACAAGGTCAGCAGACACATTCGCTGCTGCGAGAGCCGGCCTCGTACCCAAAGGAGAGAACAAAGCGTTGTCAAAGAAAACCCTCAACCCTTAGGCACACTACAGAGGTGCAGCATGGACGATGATAGCCAGTGTCATCCAAGTGCTCCGATTGAACTAGAAGAAAAAAACGCCAACAGGCCGGTTCCTGGGGAATCGGCCAACTAGTTCGTGGGATAACTCCTCAACCGACAGCCAACATCACATCAACCACCCCCCAATACGGGGACGTGGTGAGACTGACTACCAGTTGCCTGTACAGTAATGTGAGAGGTCTAAGAGGCAAAATAGCTGAACTTAGACACCTACAATCACAGCTGAACTCCAAAATCGTAATACTGAGAAAAACCTGGCTAACTCCTACGGTGGCAGACAGCGAAGTCAGTATAAATGATATGGTCCTAGTTAGGCGAGATAGGGACCTGAAAGAAGGAGGTGGAGTCGCCATATACGTCGACAAACAGCTCAGATGTGTCCATGCAATGGACCCTCCCCTCATTGAGCTCCCCGACTCTATATGGTGCCATTTCACTGTTTGGTACTGTAAATATCTAGTGGGCAGCATTTATAGATCACCTTCGAGCGGAGCAGACTACAACCAGGTACTGCTGAATACAATTTCAGCGACACAAGACATGGGGCTATGTTCAAATTGTCATAGCTGGCGACTTCAATTCCCGTCTCTTAACTTAATGTCGGGATACGCCCATGATAGATGAAATCTCCTGCTTACCATCAGGAGGGCTAGGTTCACTGAAAATGTCAGAATGGATACTAGATGGGGCCCAGATGGGAAGTCTTCTAGACTGGATTATGTGCTCACTAGTGACCAGCTACTAGTGGAAAACGTTCAGATCACGACTCCCATAGGTAGTAGTGACCACGCGGTCATAGTATTCGACATAGTCCTCCGCGAGCGTTTACAGTGGGACAATACACAGCCCTATCTGTGTTATAACAAAGCCAATTACACCGAAATGCGAAGACTTTTGTCTGAAGCAAATTGGCCTAAAAACTGGACAGAGCTAACAGTAGAAGAACACTGGGGAGTGGTAAAGGAGATCATTCACTGGGCGGCCTCAGACACTGTTCCTTTAGTCACACCAAAAGCTAGGAAACAACGTTCATGGTTAGAAATGGGGACACAACGCCTTCTACAGTCGAAGCGAAAAGCCTGGTTCGCGTGGCGACTATCGAAGAGTCAACCCGAACATGAAGTGTACCTTGAACTCAGGAATCGATGTAAAATACGAGTCCGGAGTAATAGGAGAACATTTCAGGGAAACCTCGCCAATAAGCTTCTCGTGAACCCCAAAAGACTATACAGATTTATGTCTGGAAGAAAACCGACCAACCAGGGAGCTTGCAATCTAGTGGGTTCTGATGGGAAATCTCTTACTAGTCTTGAAATGGCAGAGACATTCAGTCTAGCCTTTCATAGGCAACTGAACAGTAACGATGATTTTACCCCCACAAAACATCAAGATTACAGTGCAAAACCAACGCGCGAAAACCTGCTGGGTACATTTCAAATTACCCCGGCTATGGTATTCGTAAAATTGGGAAAGTTGACTTCGGGAAAGTCTGCAGATTGTGTTGACATCAGACCATCCGTCCTGAAGCAGTGTTCAGAAAGTCTCTACCAACCCCTTAGTAATCTGTTTCAACACTCCTTGATGTAGGGAAACTTACATGTGAATGGAAACGAGCCATCCTATCCCCTATCTTCAGGGTTGGTGACCGGCAGAATGCAACCAGTTACAGACCAGTTGCGCTACTCCCAGTGATATCGAAGATATTGGAAAGTCTCATTGACGACCACATGAGAAAATACTTCGACGGGACTAACCTACTCCATGAAGCACAGCACGATTTCAGGAGGGGAAGATCCTGTGTGACGAAAATTCTACTAGCTTGGAACGATTGGACACTATCCTGGGACGTAAAAGTACCAGTCCATGTGATCTTTCTCGACTTTGCGAAAGCATTCGACAGAATTCACCATGGTCTGCTCCTTCACAAAATAAGCAGGACGGGTGTTTCTGGAGCACTTGTCGCATGGCTGAACGATTACCTAGGCGAGAGAGAATTCTGCACCAAAGTCAACCGCATCCGATCATCCTGGCACACCTCGGCATCAGGAGTTCCTCAGGATTCTATCTTAGGGCCGTTGATGTTTTTGATTATTATCAACGACCTGCCCTGTCAACTGAGCTGCTCTGCGCTTCTTTACGCTGACGACGTAAAGATTTGGAGAGCAATAAACTCATCGGAAGACTCCGACAGATTGCAGGCTGACCTGCAAACTCTGGGAGAGTGGGCTCTGGCTAACGAAATGCCTTTCAACCTAAAGAAGTGCAAAGTAGTGCAACTTCATTCCGGCAGGTCACGGAGTGTAAATTACACTCTTGGTGGCCAGAACTCGAGTTGTGTGCCATCAGAACGCGATCTAGGTCTTATTCTAATCGAAAAGCTAGACACCAGTGGAAATTACACGAGGGACGTCGCCAAAGCTTACGCAACTTTACACTTTATGCATAGGCAGCTGGGAGCTATTACTCCCGAACTATTCTTAAGGTTGTATACGACATACGTGAGGCCACTCCTTGAGGTGCATAATATCATTGCTCCTCCGCTACTCAAAAGGGATGCTAACATTCTAGAAAGTGTCCAGAGACGAGCGACAAAATGGGTGATCGGCCTCCGCAACAAATCATATGAGGAAAGACTGAAGAAATTAAGTCCTTTCACACTTAGTTACCGTAGTCACAGGGGAGACCTCATCAGCGTCTACAAGTTCTCAAATGACCAGGCCCACCCAAATAAAAGCATCCTGCCATTAAGTGATTATAGGCTTCCATGAAGTAACCCGCTAAGGATAGCACACCAGAGACCAAAGACTCGAGTGCGTTCACATTTCTTCCTGCTTCGAGTTTGCCTTCTATGGAACGCTTTAACGGCGGCCGTGACTGCAGCGCCATCTGTGGAGACTTTTAAGCGGAAGCTGGACAATCATGCAGAAATGCATGGTTTGTGTCTCAATGGCTTATCCTCTTAAAATTTGAAACCACACTGTCAGTGGATAAGCATAGAGGCTGAATCCCCACGACCCGTTCTGTCTTATCTCACTGTACCGACTACTCTATCTTTTCCTTAGGTCACCTTTATTATTATTTCACTTATCTCAACTTATACTATCTACACTACAACCTGTTATTATCACTATTACTATTCGCCTTTTATGACTACACCGGCTGCCCAACAGGAATAGGTCAAACTCCATTTACGGCAGCAACTCAGTCCTAACATACTGCACACTACAAACCACAATTTGACCAATCCCCGCACCACTACTCTTGGAGTCTACCAGAGCTAAAGCAGTCAAGTGGCGGGACTTACTACGCAGAAGCTCACCGAAGATCTGGAACTTCTACCTTGCAATCAAGAAGCGAGCTCAAAGAAATCACTGGTTTATACTTGCTCGTAATCAAGATATTGGATATTGGATGTGCATCACAAGGTATCAGTGGTTTTTATCCACCACATCCCTGTCAGCACTAACCAAACAAGTAGAGGGATGTCAACTCTTCTGAACCCACACCACTAACGTCGGCTCCCTATCGGGAAGGAAACAGACACAGTCTAGTGCACATGGAATCATCAATCACATCCAATGCTTGTACATTATCATTATTATATTAGTGTATCCTTTAATTCCTAGAAGAACATAGGGCTTCAGCCGTGCGTCTCCATTGCGTT